CACCCAAAGAGGTTATTTTCTTATATGAACTATTGGCATCCAACAGAGTAGATTCTGTGGACATTGACTGAAGTGATGAATTTAAGTCATTTGGTATTCTCGAAATGAGAAAACCAACGGAACCGTATTAAATGCACTTAAAGCTGCTTACACTGTTTGCACCATACGTAGCTAGATCACTAACTAATACGTTCAGACTGTTCCTGTGAAAATACACTATCCTATGATTAGAAGGACACCATCGTCACACCTATCCACTAGGCAGCACCTACCAAATTATGGACCGATAAGGTTGACTCAGACTATAGTAAAAATCCTAGAAAGAGTAATCAAGAAAGCTATTACAGTTCATGTAGAGGACAGCACTATTATCTCGTTCGCAACCTAGCTTTAGTAGAGATTTCTCGTACTCAACAAACCGTTTCACAGTCAGAGAAAGTTGGGTTAAGTATAGGGATTACAGAACACCTGCAGATGTCATTTTCATATACTTCAGAAAAGCGTCAAATAATGTACTAAGTCGTATGTCGTCCATGAAACTGGAAAGTTTCGGAACCACTGCCAATGTAAATGCATAGATAAGAGACTTTCTTGTCGGTAGGAGACAAACAGTAAGGATCAATTCCGAACTCTCCTCCTGGATGTCGGTACAAAGTAGTGTGTCGCAAAACCTGCTATTTCTTCCGTATGTGGGAACTAAAGAGTATCATGAAATCTTCTGTGGTTCTCGATTCAAATAATTTAAAAATCTGGCGAAAAATTACACATGATGAAGATGTACATACACTTCAGACAGACCTAACTTTTAACTTGGTCAGAGGGATGCTTGATGCTAATCGACGCAGACGGTAACACCGACGATAGTAATGGCAGTCTTCTACCCCAAGTGTGGACTTATAGTGACCCAGGAGTAACAGTAGATAACTATTTGAAGACCACAATGCACCTGTTGGTTGCAGATAGGAGTTTTAGGGCACTGTGGGCGCCACGCAGAACTTTTAGTAAGATAAGTGGTGATATGTTCACCACTTTAAACTAGAAAACTGAGCAAAAGCAGCAGATAGTTGTCTGAAACATAACTCAGATCTCCTGGTAAGAGTTTAGAGGACGACCACTTGTACGATCTCTGTGATGACCTACAAAGAACGACTTCAGGAGCTGAACCTCTTCTCTCTATCCGATCGTAGACAGACAGGTCTAATTATGCTGTACAGGATTTTTAGAAATGACTTTGGACTTCATATATCTTCTTCATTTCTTCCCACCAAGTCGAAGCACTTCAGAGGAAATAGTGGGAGAGTAAAAAAGCAAAAAACAAACGTCAACTCCATAGGGTACTGGTTTTCATGTCAGACAACCAACTTTTGGAATTGACTATCAGAAGAAGTGGTGTCCGTGCCACGATTGACTCATTTAGGAGAGGACTAAATAAGCCCAGAGATCTAATGGAAAATGATCAATATACGCTCATTGCCTTCTGTCTTAAGATTACAAAACTGAATCTGAACAATTCCGAATGAACTAACTTCAAAATTTAGATGCAGTTAAAGAAAGGTGTTTATAAGAACCAAGTGTAAAGTATCGCAATGAAGTTTGGTAGTATAATTTATAATAATCAAGACCTTACACAAATAGATCAGTAGCAATGTTGGTAGAATATGCTTTCTGCACAATAAAGCGGAGAATTTTTATCGCTGTACACTAAAAATGTGCAGTTCGAATGCAATTCGTATTACAAACGGATGGAGAAATTTCCTTGGTCCCATAATTACAGACGTAATTTGTCATAAATTTTAGCCTACTTATAGGGAACTAAAAGAAATCATGCAATCAAACTCACTTGAGCCTGTACATGCATGTCTACTTGCATTTATAAAGTAAGACATTTCATTTCTACGTACAGTTAACATGAGTTGATTAGTATTTTCGCATTTTAATTGCTTTTATTCTTTTCTGTATAAAATAACTGTGGTCAAGATATTGTTTTTTATCTCAACTAGATTATACTCAGAACAATATTTTGTCAGCCATCTCGGAAACAAAAGAGGTAGTAGGGGATATCCTGTGGATTGGAGTAGCAAGTATTCAGATTAAATAGTTTTCCTAAAAGATGTGTTCATCTAGCTACTTTTTAAAGGGGATTATCATAGTTCGTGATATAATTGTCGACTAAATGCTTGTATTTCATTGACTTTCTCTACTATGGGAGTAGTAGCACAAAGAATCTGACTCCTATGCGTTTATCGATTAACGTGTACCGACTTATTTCATGTCTGAAGCTTTACTATGTTTAAGACGTCTAAGACTGTCTAATAGTGTCGTGGCTAAATATTTTAATACGCATCAGGCAGAAGATTGAAAAACCAGTTGCCATGTAATGATTAGAAAAGTTGTCAAGCAAATTTTGTAGTCTAAAAAAGCAGCAGTTATTCACCACCTGAATCCTAAGTTGTGTGTACAGAAAGAGTACTTTCTTTATGCTGTGTTGTCTTAGTGACTCGCTGCCTCTCTACAACTGTCTTATTGTTCTTTCTAGCATCAAATACGCATCAAGTTTACCTAGTTCACAGTTTATTTTCGATTTGACGCTTCCTTCACCATGTTATTATAGCTCTTTATTACGATTATCCCATCGATTTCTAGTACCAGTTGTACCAAATCCTAATTACTCATTCCTAAACCATATCTCTTACTACTTAGAACTTTTTTGTTATTATGATCATACTCCCTAACACTATTACTACGAACGGCTTTTTGTGTCGATTATTCCTAAGGTCATTTCTCATGATAATGACGACTTACACGTGTTCGCTGTGTTTGAGTAGGTCACGAATTCTGTCCAGTTATTCTAATCATACATAATTTAAGTTTTGTGACTGCGGAGAAACTCGATTAATTTTAGAAACTATACCACTGAAGTCTGATGAATTACTTCCTACTTGGTTCTGATAAATGATCTTTGTAAACTGTATACAAACTTGGAAATCAAAATGTTTTTGGACAGTTTAAAGAGCATGAAATGAATTCACTTGATCCTATAATGCAGATTTTTCTCTACAAAAATTTGTCAAAGAAATTTGTTATGGTAAATCCAAATAATTAATTTACTTATCATGTGTTAGGGGTATAAGCTGTTTATGTACAGATTTTTAATTGGTGTCACTGATCTACTTATGCTACATGCCTAGAAAACTTCCAAGTTAAGATGTACGCTCTACTTGTTCATAACCGTTAGATGGATTTTATTTTCTTGGACATAAAAACTCAAGTTAAAGAGTGTTCGATACAAGACATTCAATTCAGTTATGGGTGTTTTGGATATGGCTATAATATGAACTCTGTGCTAGAAAATTAAGAAATACGAATGTCATGTCCTTAACTTCATTTCATACATTGCTGAATACTAGATCGCCATATACGAATAGCCTATGGGATGTATACCATATGAAGAAAGACTAATCTTTATGACAAGAAGACATTTTAAAAAAATTCAGTGAAGTAGAAAGTTGAATTTCTGACGTTTCATGACATCGTGAAAATTGCTTTTTTGGGCAATAAAATTTTTACAAGTGGCTACATGTTCAGATGATAAATGAAAGAAATGGGATAACGCTGTTCGCATTTGTATGCAGAACGAAACCAAGTATATACGTTCAAGATAATGTGAATTTCTAACAAATCATGTTAACTCCTGATGCACTCTTCCTAAAAAGGATTGTCCAACCCACCCATCTACTGGGATCATATTATTCAAATGAAATACATGTTATAGATAGCAGGTGTAAACGGATGTTGTGAGCAGATACACATAAGCTGAATTTTCGATTCAAAATGCTTTTCCCATGTTTACTCATACCCACCTACCTACATATACACAATAATTGTTACCACTACCTTGAACTCATATGTACTTATTCTTGTTTTGCATGAAAAATGTAATCTGTTTTCTTTCGTTGATAACTTCAGCATGTAGTAACTTGTAAAGATTTTATTCTCCAAAGAAGCGTTTTTCACGAGTTTATATAAAGCTAAAAACTGGCGAGGCTAAAAGTTATCCCTAGGTGTTGTCGTGCTTTTAATGGGGTACAGCGTTCTGTGTATAAATCTGCATAATTTCTGTATGCTGTATGGATATTTTACCTAGTTGCATAGTTTCTAAGACGCTCTCTGTCATTAAATCATGTTTCATGCCGTTTATTCGTGTGTAAAGTAATGATTGTACTTCCTCCTCTTAGTTGAGATATGAATACATTTATTTATGAAGAATGATACTCGCAAATCAAAGTAATTTAATTGAGCCTTAAAATTGCAGCAAAAAGGGTTTATGATTGCAATATTCACTACAAAACGTACGCTTACAAAACAAAGAAAATATGTATTTTTGCACTGAACACTAGAGCAAATGGGGATAAATTTTAGCCTCACCCTTAAAAATTTACCTTTCTTTTAAATTTATTTCTACCTAATGCCAAGCTTATTAGATGAAGCCTTGATTTTGCTGTCCCCAAACGCTCATTTTTGTCCTGCTATCGACTTATTAGTTGTAGAAATATATCCAATGTTAGTAAACCGGTGGGTTGATAAGTATAAGGGTACATTACCTATCATAATAATTGAATAGGTTAACAGTACCTTTAAACCGAATCTATTTTGTACTGAAAAATCTAATAGCTTTCTTGTTACCGAATCAAGATAAGCAGTTACATATTCCAGATCTTCTCATTCCACTTTTCATCTTTAACTTCTAGCGCGCAAAATTTTCTACTAGTGTCTGTCTTCTAGTTTTGTATTAACTATAAACTGTACGTACTTTTCAGGTCACGTGAGGAAAGAGTTTCACAGGAAATAACTCTACAGTTTCTTAAATTTCAAGTCTTGGTTTATTATCGATAAAAACATAAATGCAAAAAAGTGAATAAGCAAAGTAATGGATGACTTGTGTAAGCCAGGGTATAAGTTTATAGCTAAATAATGTATGAATTATCCATTTGAAAAGGGATTTATTCATAGTAATGTCCAGCTGAAAAGATCTTCAAAGTGAGCAGAGAGTCAACCATGTACACTGCGAGCGCCATGAAGATAAAGATCTGAAAAATGTAAAGTTCAGGGAAAATATAAGAGCAAGAATAGACTGATAAATTTATTTTCTGGCGAGGGCCTAAAAAATTGTATCGTCCGAAATTCAAACATAATAAGAGTTCATGCAAATAAGTGTGTACGCTACCATCAGAAATCTAGAAATATTTAAAATTTGTCTTGTATCCGTCAAATATAGGATAGTGTTTCAGAAGAAGACGATACAAAACGGTAATGCACGCATAGGGAATCAGCTAATGGAATGCCGCGACCACCCAACTCACTGGGGAAGTCTCATCAAATAACAGATTGGCTGATGACGAAATCTTTGCTCGAATTTAAACGGTCCACATGGGACTTATCCAATTACGTAGTTTTTGGAGCCAAAAAGACACCAGACTGCTTATCAAGGGACAAGTTTACTGTATAACAGTTCGTTTTGAACAATCGTACGACAGTTGAGAGTAAAGATATAAAGTGGTCATAGACGTTTGATCAAGAATGCCTTTGTGGCAGAAGGTGGTATGCCTGGGCTTGTATAAGTTTACTGTGCATATTACTTATCGTGTGCAATGCTTGTTGCAATCCATTTGGGATAAGACTTATGAAACGGGATCCATGTGTAACCTATGGTATACGAAGATGCCCGGTCTGCATAATGAGTCCTGAAAATTATAACTGACAAAATCAACGTAGAACCTCGCACACTAGTGCATAGGCTCAAATTGCCATAATTCACAGTAGCACACAAAGAACAGATGGATTGAAAAAGAGTAATATCAAAGAAGATAAAGTAGTATGAGAGAAGAAACAATCTAAAGATAAAGGTAAATGCGAATATTCAAGCTTCAGATGTCAAGGAATGAATACACCTAAGCTATTGTGACCGATTTTCAGCCATGTCACCAAGAGTCCTGAACCTCTGATTCAACTCTTCTCGAGGACCCAAACCAGGCAGTTTACATCACCTCCACACGGCTCAGGCCAATAGTAAGACTTCATCGACTAGTACCATTTCTTGGTCTGGCTACCCTGAACCCTCTCCCAACCTATTTCAACTTACCCAGTATGACACGTCAGGGTAGGTGGTGGCTAGCAGGGGCATGCACAGTACACGTCCAAGCTACCTCAGCTGATGAAACTTCACGACCTCATCAATTCATATGCCTGTCTTGCCTAGTACTATTTGCCTGACCTCAACACTGCTCACTTGGTGGTTCACCAAACACGACCAATGCTAGAAAGACACCTATGATAAAACACCTGTAACCACTTAATATATTCGACTTTCAACAGCCATGTCTTACAGTCGTACAACGGGAAAGAACGGACTGCAGCACAGTATACTCATCCTTTAACAGATAGTCGGATATCTCGCTAGTCGGCGCCACAGGTGATGCAAGTTAGTATATGTCAAACGGGCTCTCTGTATCCCAGCTGAGATTTCGTCACCAACCAGCCAGTTCGGGCTAATGCAACTTCCGAAGGAAGTGAAGTGGTCGACATATTCCACCACTTAACGCCCCATCATTACACTTGGAGTGTTTGAAGCAGACCAGTCCTATAACATCACCTTACATTCAACAGACGACACCGAAACGCATGACAAACATACTCAGATTTCCACTCAAGGCGTCCAGAAGACCCTACGCTTTGTCAGAGTCTTCACCTAGCAGGACAGTGTCGTCTGCATGCTCCAAATCAACCAGATGGCCTCCAGAGAGAAGGTCAATACCTGTGAAATCAGATGTACCCAAGGATATGTTCATTAGTATGTCTATGATGAAGTTGAATAGGAACGGAGGCATTGTGCATTCCTAGCGGACACCACTAAGTATCATCAATTCACATGACAACTCTTCATAAGCTATGACATAGTTGCATGAGTTCAAGCAGAGAGCTTTGACTTGCGTTATAAACTCGCTCAGTGTTCCCTTCACAGTCAGGCACTGCCAAAACACCTCATGGTCGACAGTCATACGCCGCGCTCAGGTCAAGAAATGTAACAAGTGTCGCTCACTGGGGGTATGTAAGCCTGCGTCCCAGAACCTGTCGGAGAGTAAAATATGATCGACGAACCCTCGCTCAGATCTGTCTGGGACCTGCCTGGTCTTCTCGAGTTTGCTTTCCTCGACCTCCAGTTAGGCGTCGGATAACTATAGACCCTAGGATCTTGGACACAATATCAGTCAAACTAATTCCCCTATGGTTGTCACAAGAAGATTTCTCCCCCTTCTTATAGACTGGGAGGAACAGTGAACTAGACTAGTCTGATAGCACTACCTCTGGTCCCCATACACTACACAGTATTTTCGTCACTCTAATCAGTGATTTCCTACCTCCATACTTGAAAACTCCAGATGGCAAACTGTCAGGTCCTGCTGCTTTCCATCATTTCTAGTTCGATATGGCTTTCCTAACTTGAAGGATCCACATCTACGTCCCATACAGGTTCAGGCTGGACACTGGGCAACTGAAGCGTTGCTGAGGACCATTTGGACTGGGCTTCAAAGTGTTCCGCCTAACGTTCTAGCTGCCGGCCTCGAGAGGTTATCGGCGTCCCATCCTTTTCGGTGGTGACTTCACTCACCATCGTCTTCTTCTTGCCGGTATCCTAACAAGCCTAAATAGTTGCCGAGTGTTACCCACCGCTGATGCCTTCTCCATCTCTCTCCCTTTTGTCATCCACCACTGCTCGTGATTGATAAGAAGACTCTTTGTCAGCTGGAATCAGTCTTCTCGCATCAATGAGTTTGGATGAAGTTGCGGAAATCCAATGACGTTAGCTAACCTTCGGCTGTAGGTTACCGATTGTCTTTACTGCTGTTTTTACAACAGACTTAATATCAGCATTGCTATCACGTTCAGATAAATGCTTAGCCAACTCCCATCTAACTGTGTAATTTGCGTCCCCATCTACCAATCGAACGCAGAAGGGCTTTACTGTCTCTTATGGTCAGAAAGGCGCAAACATACACTAGTTATTACTAACGTGTGACTGGAGCCCAAACTGGCACTCCAGAAAGAGCAGCAATCCTCCACTGATCCTCTCCAATGATGGTTTATAGCAATCTGATCTATTTCTGACCATCCTTGGTTTAAAGTCGGTGGACACCATGTGAGACAGTGCCTCTCCTTACATCTAAAGTTGATGATGGCTAGAAACAAATGGTTATTGGAACAAAATTGCAACAGATGATCACCGTTGTTGGTTCGTTAGCATGCAATTCCGTAAATACCTGCGAAATGCCTTCTGATTAACTCAGCTTTCCTACTTGAAAGTTAAAGTCATTTGCTGTTATGACTGCATCTGAACGTTTTACTCTTTGTACCGAAATTGACATTATCTCATGGAATTCATCCCTTGCATTATACAAACTGCAGTCAGTCGGTGTGTAAGTAGAGATTATGAATAGGCATCGCCCAGTTTCACGATCCTTCCTAGTCCTTACATTCAGTCAAACAGCACACAGATAGGTGTTTACTGGTATCCAGTCGAGAAGTGCACTTTCTGCTAGGTGAGGTGAATTTGAAAACCACACTCCCTGTCTCAGAGACACAACATACATCAATGGCCGGAGATCCCAGAGTTCTGGCGAGCGACGTTTGCTGTCCGGTTTGAGATAGAGTTCGGATGTTGAAAGCTCCTACATGAAATCGATGGTGGGCAGGGTCTTAGGGAACTAAGAATGGGGTTTGCATGATATTGGTCGTTGGTAATGGTTGCAGAGTGAGAAGTTGTGGGAGGTGTAAGAAGCTTAATGTTAGTTTCAGGAGCTGAGGGCAGGGGAGGAGACAGAGCTGAGGAGGATAAATTACGTTTGATTGAGTCTTGTGTACTACTGGAAGCTTGCAGGCGGTTGACCACTTTTCATCTTACGACTATACAACAGATTCAACTATTATGGTGAGACCTCGAGATAACAGGTGTTCCAGTAGTATAGCTCCTAAATCCGTTGTCATATGCAAGCTCGACTCCTGCTTCAAGGTAGCAGCTATCGGTCGGGTTCGGAGATTATAAATACACCAGTGTTTAAGAAAAGAGAACAATGGTTATGAAATCATGGTAATGCAAGGAATTTCAACCATAGCCACATCTGCGGTCAAACAAAAGATTGTAGAAAGTGGTTTACAAAGTTAGTTGTATCGACGGGAATTGTTAACCACGTCAGCAACAAGAGTATGTTATCCGACCTTTCAGGCATCTATCATGAATATTTAGAAGTTTCTACCGTTTCAATAAAATCCAAATTAGAAGCAACTTATAGCTACGTATTCAAGCAAGTCTTATGAAGAAGTTTCCCAACGGCAAAAAACTTCTGGACCAAAATCTAGAGCCTACCGCACTACTTCAGTGTGCTTTCATAGTGAAGTGGGCGTTGCTGATCAAAATGGATGAGTAGTATATGTTGAGAGGGTGGCAGAAACCATAGGGAATTACCAGTAATAGGTAATGATTCTGCCCAGAGAAACGCAAGAGACAGTGCCAGCGTGTTAAGAGCAAATCAAGATAGAAGCAGAAGAGGAAATGAAGCACATTATGCAAATGACTGTCTTAGTGCAAGGTGTACCATATTTGATGACTACTGTACGAGATGCCCTTAATAAACATTCCCTGCTTCGTCCGTCTTCTCGTTTCCTACACTTTCAGTCAAAAGTCATCACTGAAGCTTCTGTGGTGGTATAGGTAATAATAGCTACGGGAAGTCTTCTGAACATTTGGCAACAACAAGCTTCAGCGATGATCACTTCTATTTAATGAAGCTTTCAATATGAATATTTTACAGTGAGCTAAACTGCCCGTGTGGTATGCACTGACACACGCATGATTTGAATGAGGTTTCTTGTAGGTATTATGAGGAATCTTGCTAGATTAGCTTCTTTTTGTACGGTATGGGACATACAATTTTGGTGAAACCAATATTTTCCAACAGGAAACTAGAGACCGATTAGGTTTGCCACAGCAAAATAGTGGATTCTGTCTTGTGCCAGTCCATATCAACCAACTGCATAAAAGGTTTCAATATATATTTTCTATGACGTTGATTGTGGCAACGATAAACATTCCGAGCATTTCGATGTAGCTGTAAGCAAAGTAATTAAATGTTAAGCTTGATTTCAAGGCTTTCTACGTTGAATAATGTTTTTCCAGAGAAGATACCAATTGGTGAAAGAACCTTTGAATTCACTCCATGGGAATCAAATAGACCATTTTCTGTTTTACGCTTACAGTAACACGAATTATTAAGTCAGTATATCTTCTGAATAGTAATTTTAGTGTTGAGAAGTATCGGACGTTTATTACTTCTAGGAAAAAAGCTCTATGAGGCTACCACACAGCTCTGATAGCTTTAAGTGAAAAGAACCCATGCGGAACTTAGATTCCGTCATTCAGGGTTCAGGTTAGTGGCTAGCCAAAAGTATTGTATCAGTTCGCCCCATAAATGAACGAGGGAATGCAATGTGAAATCAGCTGTTGTTGATACCATATCATATTCACTGACCTCACGCCACTTAAGTATAGTCTTTGAAGTAATGCCGTAAACCAACGTCTATCTTTATCCAGGAAGCGGTTGAGTCTATGGTAGCAAAGAAACTCCTGTCTAGTAGAGATAATTTTTCGGCTCTACTGAATAACTCAGATTACGATGCAGCCAGCGTCACTGAGGTTAAGTCATGATAAAAAAAAAGACATTAAGCACGATAAGAATGAGTTAGAAGAGTTGGATAAGCCTGTTAGCAAGACACGAACTCGTCGTAAGAGGAACAGCTTCAGATTCCAGTAATTCCTTGGAGGGTGACCTACGTTTTTCAGCCCAAGGTGGCACTCTGATCCAAAACTTAACTGGTGCAACGCGTTTGATCTACAGCATGAACTATCTCTGGTAGATTTGTTTTCGTACATTAAGAGGAGAAAGTAACTAACCTCAAGCACTAGCTGCACTAGTTTATAGTGCTCAGATAGTAATACTTCTCAAATTTCGCATGTATGACTTGGATTATGATTTAATCCCCGCTAGTCGGAACGTATGGTGCGTGGAAATGCTGGCGATAAAGGAGTGTGTAGTTACACTAGACTGGATTATGGATAGTAACATATCAACAGAGTAGGTTCAGGAAAAATTTATAGCTACATTTGACGATGCAGCTTTATTGTTTATCCCGTGGTCAGCTCTAAGTAGGTTTTCTCACCGCCCCCTATGCTTTGCTAATAGCATACTGAAAATTCTAAGGAGCAGGAAACGACTATCGAACATACTTTTGAAAATAGGTAGTGAGTTTTCAGACTTCGTATTGAAAGGTTAGAAACGCGTAAATCAAGTATTGCGAGGTTTATAATAAAATACGAAAGCCAACTGACTGACTGTCAGGTCTGTTCAAAACACTTGTCTTTATTCGTTGAAAGGAGAAGGAAACGTAAGCATGCAGTTCCATCCTTTTTATCAGCTAGGAATTTAGAAAAGTTGACTGAGTCTAATCCGTCCAAAGCTGAATGTCTCTCCAATTACTACTACTTCAGTAGAGTCTTCTTAGTAAACGGAGATATTGCTATTCCGACCAGCATTTCTGAAAATGCTCCAACACTGAGTCCAGTACACACCGTTGGAGAGGTAGTTTCTCGATTACCGAGCAATATAAATGTAAAACTTGGGCACTGTGGTAAAATCAAATACCATATTGTATTTATTTATTTAATTTGTAACACAGTGATACTGTATTATTTACTTGATGGCGTTTCGAGCATAAATTATTGATGATAATCATATCACATTGATAAGACTATGAGCAATAATTTATCCTCGAAACGTTATCAAGTAAATAATGCTATATCACTGTGTTATAAATCACATATAACAAGACATGTAAGAAAACAATATTGTTTTCAATTAGATTGCATCAGGCTTCGCTCTGATATGTAAAACTGTCAACATATTTGTAAAATAGCAACCAATAAGTCAAATAAAGAAGTCTGTTATAGGTCACTGAGCAACCTGACGCCTAGAAAGTCATCTGGTCTTAATGGCTTGCACTTAAGGCTATTATCTTTCCTGACGGACATTATTACTAGGCTGCTTTTTGAACTACTCAGTACGTCCATGTCACGCTCAGCTTCTAAGAGACAGGAAAGATAATAAAATCAGCCCTGTTTTCAAGATATAGTAAACAACTGGCATCGAATTATTATCCTGTTAGCTTAACTAACATAGTTATCAATGCATTAAAGAAGATTTTCGGGAAGAGAGATAAGCTATGTCGAAAACCGTAATCCTCTCACACTGTCGCAACATGGGTTCGACACTGGTCAGTCAGGTTTAACTAAACTCCTCATAGCAAGAGGTGAACGGATAGAAGTTTGTGACTTAAGTAGGGATTTTCACATAGAACTAATGAAGCTCTCAAGCTTCGGGTTCAATACTGCGATGCAGGCATAGACTGAAGAGTTTCTATGCGATAGGATAGAAAGGCTGAGAGTAAATACAACATTACCTGAGTGGTAACTTGAGGAGTGAAGTCCATCAAGGAACGATTTTGGGTCCTCTTTTTTGCTTGCATTGTGTCAAAGAACTCCCGGATACACTAACGGTGTTATTATTTGCCGAAAACGAGAAAATACGGAAAGTTATGTCTAACACTGACAGGTTTCCACTGTAAGCACATCTAGACAAACTAGTCAAGTGGTTCAACCACTGGTGTCTAGAAAATTATTCTAGTAAATATGCAGTGATGTATATTGGTCATAGCCGCTGTCATCAGTACCTGGCAGATACGACACCATTACCTGATGTTAAAAATAAGACTTGATAGTCAGTCACAACTTGAAGATGTCTACACGCTGCTTCGAAGCCATGGCAAAGAGGTTTCAAGTATTATGGTATCTTCACAGAGCATCCACGTGCTTCGACGAAGACGTTTCGGATAGTAAACCCCACGTTTTTGCGACTCCATCTAGACCATTGTATCTAAACGACCTGTCACTGCTTCATAAAAGATGCCAAAACACTGTAGCGCGTTCAAAGACTCGGTACTACGTTAGAGGCTGATCTCTCTAACCTAACCTAAGAGGGCCGTTTAGAGAGACTAAATTCTTGACCATTGTCTTATAATGGAATAAGAGGTCACCAGGTGTTAGCATTCACTTGTACTAAAAATGAGCCTTAGGTTGATATTCCTCATTTCTTCACTCCCTTAAGGATCAACTACCTTCGAGGCCATCACAAGAAAATTCAAAAACCACGGTAGAATCAACTCAATGTGAGTTTAGGTGCACATAGAGTGGTCAACAACTGAAACTCCTCACCCGAACAACTTGTATTAGCCTTTTCTTCAAAAGCATTGACGTAGGAACCAGATATTCACAGAGAAACCTACTACAGAGATAAACTGAGGTCAAGTCGGCCTACTATATTTATTAATGAATTCTGGGTGCAGTCACGATGAGGCTTAACCAGAAAAGGATTATTTACCCCCTTGGTTCACTATCACCACCATCGAAAAGTGGTCATAGCTAGAAATCTAGGATTCTGAGTGGCATGATTACCGTCGTTACTATGAGGAAGAAATTTAATATTTTGGTTACATGATGACTGCAAACGAAATGTTAGGTGAGGGAGCAGTCGGAAATGATGTTCAAACTTCGTGTTGTGAAAACACAAAACTACGGCCGCAAAAACTGCAACTGCAGAGTAGATGATCTCACTAGGAATTCAACTAATTTGGAAAAAACAATAATAGCTTCAAACTTACTGTTTCAGCTATGATGAGACCACTTAAGTGGGAATAAGCAGCGGATAAAACACCGTTCGAAAACACTAGTATGCAAATGAAAACATACGAGGCAAGCTCCTAGGATGATGAGTGTTTACTTTATTTGGACTTACAATGCCACACCACGGAGCTGGAAAGAAGCGATGCAGCAAAAATAGGTGAAATATGAGGAAAAACCCAGTGACAATGAATGACAATGCAGTAGTAGCGGTTAACCAAGAACCCCCAACCAGAAGAAATCTTCTGTCTAAACAGCTGATAACAAAGGCAATCACGATACAGAAAAGTTCACATAACTTCACCATTGCAGGGAAAGTTTCAAAGTAGCCTTGGTAACACTTCCAGTGATAAATCCTTTTAGATTCATTGCCACCAGGCAGTAGACTTTCAGCGGTAGGTGTAGCTTTGATACCATTAGAATCATTTAAAGCCATGTTAGTTGCGTACTTGTAAATAAGATCTCAAAGGTTAGTATAATACACAGGTCAATACAAAGGACATACTTATTCCAGAAAGGCCAGGATAGGCAATTTAAAATATCAGTATTTAAATTTTGTTTGATGTTAAGCAAATCCGTTGAGAAACAACTTTATGAAGTAGGAACACTTTAAACAGTCTTTAGAAAGGTATAAAAGGATTCTTTTCCAGCGCTATAACACGCAGATGGACTCTGACCTTGAATTGATGTTCATGAACGGCAATGTTTACACTTTCTGGGTTTTCAAAAAATTAAATGTCCGTTGACGGAGTAGAAGTGGTTTTCGTTTAATTGACTTCTGTATCTAGAATCCGCGGATCACTACTTCTTTTTATTGTTAACCAGTATAAAATTTAAGAGAGTGTAGCGTCATAAACTTCCCCAAAATCAGTAGCCTAGGGTTTGACGACTTTCGACATCGATGCTGACCTTGATAGTTTAACTGGACTCGCTAAGCTGAAGGCACCCGGTCAAGCATCCTGGCCATTTGGCACGCTGTCGTGTTACGTTGCATTGCTCGTATTCGACTCTCTAGCCAGTTAGTTGGAACGCATCGGTATTTTGGCATAACCATCCAAATATACTATTCCATCCGACTACGCTATCGTGTTCTACCTTGGTCTCGTATTCGTGGGTATATAACAAGTTCGAATAATTAGTGATTGGTCTTTGCGTCTGTCAAGTTCGCACCAGGACAAATCCTAAATTGGTGAGCCCGACGTGATCACATATCCCGACCAATAACAAGTATTGAATTGGTGAGCCTGTTCCATTTTATATTTGTTTATTGTTTTCATTTCGATAACATTTATATATCCATTTACTACACTTTCTCATGTCCGACCACACTCCCAAGCTTATTCGTATTAAGTCGACTACGAACACGATCCAACTCGTGCCATATTGGCCAGACAATGCAGAAACATGGTTTCTGTATGCCGAGGCAGATTTTCGAGAACAGGGTGTCTCAGATCCTCATTCTCGATTTCTTGCTGTCATACGGTCACTACCGCGAGAATTAAACAGGTATGTTACAGCAAACATGTTTAATCCTGAAGTAAGTGACCCTTATGCACTTCTAAAGGCCGCACTCTTGAAGAAAAGCGATCTCACAGATCGCCAACGTCTAGACGAATTGTTTCGTAACATCGAGCTAGGCAGCCACTCAGCTACTGAAGTCCTCGCACGCATGCGAGAAGTAATCGGTGCACGAACATTTGACGATGGTTTCTTCCGAGAACTATTTCTCTCGAAACTACCACAACCGGTGCAAACCGTGTTGGTGACACTCCAGTCAGTCCCACTCGACGACCTGGCAGCCTCAGCAGATAAAATACTGGAGATATCCAGCAGACCAGTCTCCAACGTATATTCTATCTGCGACAAAACAGAGCGCCAGGATTCAGAGGTGACCAAGTTGTGCAACTCTGTGAGACGGTTGCTACGATCTCGAAGTCCTAGATCACGTAGCACTTCACGGAAACGCACCTTGGCGCATCGCAGCAAGTCGTGTGGTAGCCCTAAAACGAAACCCAACAGGGTGGAAAACCCTGAATGGTGCTGGTTTCATAACACTTACGGGGATGAAGCCAGAAAATGTCGTAAACCATGCCGTTTTAAGAAGGACCCGAACTCGGGAAACGGTCACGCCGGCACGTGCTCACGGCAACCGTAGCCGGCCGAAAAAGCCGTTTGCTCTACGTCACGGATATTAAAACGAAAGTCCGCTACCTCGTCGACACCGGCGCAGAAGTTAGCATTCTTCCAGCAACGACAAAGGAGCGTCATCTTGACCCATCCTTCAATCTTCAAGCAGCCAACGGCAAGGCAATCGCGACATTCGGGAGACGGTATGCCTACCTCAACTTAGGTTTACGCAAACCTATCCACTGGATTTTCCTCCTGGCAGACGTCTCTATGCCCATCATTGGCATAGATTTGCTAAACCATTACGATCTACTCGTAGATGCTCGCCGTCGACGACTGATAGATAACAGCACAAAGTTATCCATTGGCGGCACCACCTATGTAGGTCCGAGTTTAGCCATCGTTAGGACTAAACAATCAGACGACGCGTCCTACCAGGCAGTTCTGGAGAAATATCCAGAGTTACAGCAACCGAAGCACACTCTTCCGTGCATAACCAGCAATGTTATGCATCACGTCACAACCACAGGTCCACCTGTGGCATCCAAAGCGCGCCGTCTAGCCCCCGATAAGCTCCAAACGGCGAAAAATGAATTCGACCACATGCTCGACCTGGGCATTATCAGACCGTCGAACAATCCTTGGGCATCGCCATTGCACATGGTTCCCAAAAAGGATAGCAGTGACTGGCGTCCAACCGGTGATTACCGAAGGCTCAACGCCAAAACAACTCCGGACTCCTACCCGATACATCAATACAAACCCTCGTATACTTTGCCTTTTTATATCAATTTTTATTTACCATGTAATGAAATTTTAAAAAAAACGGTAAAGATAAGCGTAAATTTTTATTTTTCGATATGTTGATATATAAATAATTCCCATTTTTACGCAACGTTTTCGTGGTATTAAAGACTTTTATTTATATTCCAGGTGCAACGAGCACTGGACGGAACGTCGAAAGGAACAGATGACCGCGACCGACGTACAATTCCATTTATTGTATTTTATTTATTTAATCGCCACGACACCCTAGAATAAGGTTCAGACAACCAGGGGCCACCTCACGCAGTCAGCCCATCGGAAGAGTTTTACCAGTGGAGAAACCACTGGGTTTTTACTTCCGGCTGGTATCGTCTTAGGGTCTTTTTTTTTTTTTTTTTTTTTTTTTTTTTTTTAGCGTCATACACTTCCCCAAAATCAGTAGCCTAGGGTTTGACGACTTTCGACATCGATGCTGACCTTGATAGTTTAACTGGACTCGCTAAGCTGAAGGCACCCGGTCAAGCATCCTGGCCATTTGGCACGCTGTCGTGTTACGTTGCATTGCTCGTATTCGACTCTCTAGCCAGTTAGTTGGAACGCATCGGTATTTTGGCATAACCATCCAAATATACTATTCCATCCGACTACGCTATCGTGTTCTACCTTGGTCTCGTATTCGTGGGTATATAACAAGTTCGAATAATTAGTGATTGGTCTTTGCGTCTGTCAAGTTCGCACCAGGACAAATCCTAAAAGAGATTAAGTCTATCACGTATTTATGAAACATGTACCACTTTTCAGTCTCTTTTCTCAGTGGTGTGCTAAGTAGATTTCCTTGCAGAAGCCAGTTTAGAAGCTATAACCTAGCATAACTCCAAAATGCTTCTTTCATTGTATGCATGTCATGGTGAACTTTCAATATTTACAGGGGATGGTTTGTGCAGAATTTCGAGCGCTTACTTCTGACAGGACTTTTATATCCGGTTTGTTCAGTAGGAAATATAATGAAGAAAGTGTATATGGATCGGCAATACACTTAGAAGATATCATGCACCAGGCCAGGATGTCGAGTGGAACCCAAATGGAGGAAACGACGAGTTGGACATCCCAGCTGACAGCGACATGGAGAAGATCGTGTGAGAACGAAATGAAAGCTTGTGGACGGTGGCGGAGCCAGGTTGAAAAGACTTCAGAGAAGGGAGTGAAGTGGCGATGAGCTACTGAAGCCCTATATTCCACTGGAAACCCAAGGGACAAGTAATAATAATTATAACTGTTCGATGGCGTTCAACCTTCAAAAATTGATTCCACACGAACTTGACAAATGCATAAGCCAATTGTTGGTTATTAGCAAGCTTTCGAGACAAAATAAGAACACAACAGAGTAGCCTGGTGCAATATTATATCTGATAGACATTTCGAAGTACCGACACGTCCGAGCTGATTGGTTAGATGGTTGCGAACGAGCAGCGCAACGTAACACGACAAATGGCGTGTATGGTTGGCCATGTGTCTTCATCCGAGTGAGTGCGCGAAGACTATGATGGTCAGCATCAAACTTAATCTCGTCAAACCCCAGGCTATTTAGTCTGAGAATTATTTTCCGCAACAGACGTCCATCACACAGAGTGTTCATGAAGGCCCCAAGACGATGAATGCCAGCAGTAAAACAACGGCGGTCTCACAACCTGTAAAACTTTGGCGAACCACGCTTACCTTACTAGTTCACTAGGTGCTAGCCGGTCGTAAGACTGGGTAAAGAGGGAAGGTTGGGCATACGGCTAGCAACCCTACCCCGCAAAACTAATCCAACCGCTACAGAAACTTCAAAGCACTGATAAAACTATGTATCGATTTTTAAACACAACTCACTATCATAACATCACGTCGGATACAAACACAGACAATGACTAAAAAATGAAGTACAATTTCACAGCTTTTGAAAATAAATCCTTTGGAAAGGATCTGCTCCTATTTGTTTACACTATTCATCATCTATTTCACCGGTAGATCCTGTGGACACCGTCCTGTCATCGTATGAGGTGTATTTCATTTAGGTGATCCCAGCATAATATATTAGAACAAGAAACAAAATATTTGTCTGTTTCACAAGCGGAAGCATGGTACGGCCGATGTACTCAGCTCCACAAGAGCAAGTAAACTGGTATATACACATTGATGTGGCCCAATGCGTCGGCTTGTCTTTCACCCATTGACCGAAAAGTTTCTTGCAGGAGTACAGCTAGCAACCCTACCCCATAAAACCAATCCAACTGCTAAAGAAACTTCAAAGCACAAAGAAAATATAAAAAATAAAAAAACTTATCCCTCGCTGCAATCAGGGAGACGAAGTGGCGCTGGTTGGTAGGAGCCTTCGCGAAGCCAGTCGGTCGACTTGTCTTCGCCTCTCGATGAAAGCGAAAGCAAGGATGGGACATGGAATGTCCGCACCATGTATGAGTCTACCAAGGCGGTCCAGATTGCAAAAGAGATGGGGAGGTATGCCATGGAAGTGCTTGGAATCTGCAAAAGCAGAGGGAATGGAAGTGTAATCTCCAAACTGTCAACAGTCTATTCCGATATCGTCACACAGACGACAACCACGAGCACACTGAGTTATGGAGTGGCTACCATGATGTCCCCAAAAGCATCGAAGGCTCTCATGCAGTGGGAACAAATCTCCTCCTGCAGTGTCATGACAGCAAGCTTCAACTAAAAAGGAAGGAAAGTCACAATCATTCAATACTACACGCGAACAAACAATGCAAATCAAGAGAAGGAAGAATTCCACAGACGACTGCA